GTCGTGTCGTCGTCGTCGTCGTGTGTGTGTGTGTGTGTGTGTGTGTGTGTGTGTGTGTGTGTGTGTGTGTGTGTGTGTGTGTGTGTGTGTGTGTGTGTGTGTGTGTGTGTGTTCAGGTGTACATTGGGGAGCTTCCCCAGGACTTCCTGCGGATCGCCCCCACCCAGCAGCAGCAGCAGGTGCACCTGGACGCACAGGCGGCCCACCAACTGCAGTACGGGGGCTCCATGGCAACTGTGGGACGACTCAGCATCACAGTGGTGCAGGTACGCACACACACACACACACACACACACACACACACAGCTGTGTCTCATCTGGATGTCTGTCCCCCTGTGGATCATATCACACTGGTCCTGTCTGTTCTGCTCTGAAGGGGAAGCTGGCTAAGAACTACGGGATGACCCGGATGGATCCGTACTGCCGTGTCCGGCTGGGTTACGCAGTGTACGAGACCCCCACTGCTCACAACGGAGCCAAGAACCCGCGCTGGAACAAGGTGATCCAGTGCACCGTGCCCCCGGGGGTGGACTCCTTCTACCTGGAGATCTTTGATGAGGTGAGGAGGGGGACCTGCTGAATCCATCCCCTACAGTACTCACACACACACATGGATAAGAAGGGGTGTAACAGTTTCCAAACCGCATTAAGAACAACAGCACAAACATTCAGTGATACTCCAACAGTAACACCCATACAGATAAGATGATTAGGAGATGAGAAATTATGAACATTTGAACTAGTTTCAGTTTTTAAATTGATGTTCCTATATACTGTTCAGCTACAGTATATGCTGATCAAAGTCAAAACATGTTTTACAGAAAAACATAAAGGCAAAGGCCTTTAACATTCATGACTTCAGTTTAGACATATCTGATAAGGCGGGTGTTTAAAGGCAGTGCAGATATTTACAACTCTTATTTAGTTTCCATCACGACGATGATTGCCTCCTTACCAAATCACAAAGTTACACAAGTACTTTTCTTTTTTTAATTTTTGATTTTTGATTTATTTCAAGTATAGTACTGTGATACAAATGAATTGTAATGGGACCAGCGGTGCACCCACTGTTGCAGTGCATGTGTTTGACAGTGTGCTTAATTAAACTGGGGACCATAGTCATTAGGCTTAAACTAAACCACATCTAGTGAAGACAATGTTAGAAGAATACCTTAACCACAGAATGTTTATTTATATACAATTGTTCTCCCTGTGTTTCCTGGGATATTTGGAACAGTTAATCAGACAGACTCTCTGCATGTGTTTAGTGAGTGAGCTCTGAGCGTGCTGTTTGTCTGTTTCCAGAGAGCGTTCTCCATGGACGACAGGATAGCATGGACTCACGTCACCATCCCTGAAAGCCTGCGGGGGGGCAGCGTGGTGGACGAGTGGTTCACCCTCAGCGGTCGGCAGGGCGACGACAAGGAGGGCATGATCAACCTGGTGATGTCTTTCGCTGTGAGTGCACTCTCTCGTACTCTTCCTCACTCCTGAGACCCTCATGTAGAGGATGTGCAACTCCACCACTTAGACTTTATTAAACGTTTTTACAGCAAACAACACAATAAACTACCAACACCAGCACAGTGCAATACGAGAAATATTCCTGTGTGTTATGGACACATAATAAATGCAAAGCGTATCATGTTCCCAAATAATCAAGGTAAATAGGACTCATGTTCTCAATAGCAATTGAGTAGGTTATATTCACAATCAATTCATTTTGAGATATATTTGAACCATTTGGACCATCTTCCAGTATATGAGTCGTTTCTTAGTCTTAATACAAAGAAAACCATATACAATACAGATTAGGGAAGTCGGCAGTAGGCTTTCCATTAACAAAATGCTACAAAGATTAAAGCAAAATATAAATGAATGATTGCCTGTTGGCTTTCTTGTTTGTACTTTGACAACAGGTAGACTAATAACGGAGCTCAGCTGTTCAGACATTATTATGCATCAAGTGATATCAGTGTTTCCCCTAGGTTTACTGCCTTGGCAGGGTGCTGCCAAGGGTAGCACCCTCGGAAAAAAAATTCGGGGCACCCAGATTTTTTTTATCCTTTGGAGCAGAGAGAGGAGCTGTGGATTATTGTTATTGATATCGTACAGTAACAAAGTATTTGTACATTAAAAAGTAATAAAGTACAGTGTTACACTGTACTTTATTACTTTAATTCAAACTGTATTCCCTTCTTATCATGTAGCCTACACTTCTTCCTTTCATTGATACATTTAAATCACCTGACTACAGCATATAACTTACCTGCTGCAACCCTGTGCTGCTGCTGCTTCTCTCTGCCTCATCCTCTATTGCTGGAGGCAGCTCCACCTTATCTGATCTCTGATATGAAAGCAATCGTGTTATGATCATATTGAGCTATTGGTGTGAGTCTAACATTAAACAAGCAGTCTGCTTGTCATACATTGCTGACGATACATTTTAAGTGGCAATTTGTTGAGTCACTGCCGCTAAATGTCGGTAGCATCAAGCTAGCAAATCCTGCATTAGCCTCACATCAACAGGTGTA